AAAAGATTATGGATTCTAAACTACATAAAATTTACGAATGCGCAATCTCAATTATGACAAGTCGGCAATATACTGAACTTCAGAGACGTCAAGAAGCCCACTTTGAAAGCATTATGTGCACACCAACCAGGGTAAGGCGCCAATCATCCTATTTGCACGAAAACCCTTCCACTTATGCCGATCATTTCTCCTGTAGCTGATGACGGATGAAAGATCACCTAATGTATAACATTTGAATTCACCAAAGCATTCAGACACGCAACTGGCATTAAATACTGTCGAATATGCTAGAACTGGAAAAAAAAACAAGCGCATTTAGGGCAAATTCTCAAGCCACTAAATTAAGTACCGAGACATACCCTTGGTGGGAACAACATCAGGTGTCTCATCAGCTTCTTCCTCAGCCAGTGCCGCTACAACCTCATCAGACCTCCATCCCATACGTCGGAGAAGTTTGTCAGCCAAACTTGTCCTAAAATCCAGTGAAAAAGGATGATGAGAATGAAGCAAATTCCATAACACTTCAACCAGAAGCAACTGAATAAAATCACAAAACAGCGGAATTTTTCAAATAATACGAATTTCATTAATTTTAAAACCAGACCCGCTGGGAAGAAGCATCCGTTTGAGAATATCACCGGCATCTGGAATGATGGATTTGCCCCCAAGAGATTCACAAAGTGTATTGAAAATATGGTGATCATCGAATTCGCGTCGCGTTCGGTAGTGACGAGGAGCAATGCCATACTCACCAAGATCCTAAATTAAAAGTTTATTTGAATATAACTCGAAATCAAAGGCATTCAAAGCATATGCCGGACCGAGCTTACCTCTTCATCCATAAAATCTTCCGGCTTGGACAGAACCTGTGAAGCGGCATTCTGACTGCGGTTTCGCCGAGATGAAGTAAATGACTGAGGTCTAAAGCCTTTAAAAATTCAAAGCCAAAAAGAGAATTAATTACCCCAAACCCCAACACGCCATCACAAGTAATAAAACCTAAGTGATACAATTGATACAAGTTGTAAAACTCTCGGGTTCTACTTTTACTATTAGTGACGCTTGCCTTCTTTGGAGCCGACAGTATTAAAGTACCCAGCTGAAAAGCCACCAGTAAATGCGCCATGAAACCTCATGGGTCGACCGCGCTCATTCAG